GATAGTAAAATAAGTGCCTGCCTGGCAAGTGTAAGGTCCCAAGTTCAATCCCTGGTACCACAAAGTAATATAATAATAATTTAGATTAATATTTTTTGAAAATCTACGAAATGGTGAATCCACGAAAATCAAACCACGAAATAGCAAGGGACTACTGTATAGGCCCTTAGAATAGAACAGAGTCCCGAACAATCACCCAGCTACAGACAGTGGTGCCTCAGTTCAACAGTTCTTACCAGGATTCTGGTTGTGAACTGGAATGAGAACCAAATTAAATTCAGGTGTTAGGCGGAACATGGTGGCACATGCCTATAATCCCAGCACTTGGGAGGCAGAGGAAAGAGGATCCCAGCAAGTTCAAGGCCAGTCTTAACTACATAGTGACACCCTGCCTTCAACACCAAAACCAAAAATGAAATAATTAAATAGGTTCAATGTTAACCTTAAGGGGAAATTTGATTAGGTACCCATCCAGTTTGATTAACAATCAGAATTGGGGTAAGAATTAAGTTTGTGAACTAGGGTACCACTGTAAAAGAAGGATCTTGAACAAGGGTGCCATCGCCATTTGAAGAGGAAAGGACAGTGTCTTTAACAAATGGATCTGGGGAAACTATCCACATCGGAAGTATGAAGTTGGATCTTTTCCTTATACATACACAAAAAATTGAAAATAGGCCAAACACCTTAAACATAAGAGCTAGAACTAAAAACTTTTAAAAGAAAATGTAGAAATCTGAGTGTATTAGTGATCCCTAGCACTCAGTGGCTGAGGCAAGAGGATCATTATGAGTTTAAGGCCAGCCTGGACTACATAGTGAGACTCTTCTCAAAAGAAAAAGGAATAAAAGCTCCATGATACTGAATTTGGAAATGACCTTAAGTAGGCTGTGAAAGCACAGGCAACAAAAGTGAAAACATAAACTGAGCTACATGAAAATTAAAACCGTTCTCCATCAAATGACGTGAGAGAGTTGAAAAGGCAGTCTATGTGCAAGTCATGCACTATATCTGAGGAAGGGTTAGTAACAAGAATATATAAAGAATCCTTACCTCTCAATAACAAAAACAATCCAGTTTAAAAAAGACAAAGGACTTGGGTAGACATTGCACCAAAAATGACCTACAAATGACGAACAAGCTCATGAAAAGCTGCTCCACACCACTATTAAGGAAATGCAATCAGTAGCATGAGATATCACTCCATATTCATTAGGATGGCTATGTCTTAATACTGGCAAGGATGTGGAAAAGTGGATCCCACGGAACGCAAAATGGTGCAGCTGCTGTAATAAGTGGTGTGTTGAGTCCTCAAAAAATTAAATACAGGGGCTGGAGAGATGGCTCAGTGGTCTAAAGCACCTACTTGAAACAAGCTTGGCAAAGCACAGGGACCGTGGTTCGACCCCCAGCACCACATGCCAGCCAGCCCCGCCCCCTGGTGGGCTGAGCTGGCCACACACACACACAATAAATAAATGTAATAAATAAAAATAAATAAATAATTAAAAAAAAAAGATTTAAAAAAAAATTAAATACAGGTGCTGGGGAGATAGCTCAGTAGAATAAGTGCTTGCCTGGCAAGCGCAAGGTCCTAAATTTGATCCCTGGTACCACAAAAATAAATAAATATAGAATTATTGTGGGATCATCCAGCAACCTTACTTCTGGATATGTAGCCCAAACAGTTGAAAACAGGATTTTAAAGAGATGTTTGTACGTGTTTGTTGAAGCTTTACTCATAACATCCAAAGGGAGACGCAACCCAAGATGCTTCCTTCACAAGATGAATAGATAAGCAAAATGTGAAATTTTATTTGGCCTAAAAAGGAATGAAATTTCCATATGTGTTAACACGAGGGAGCCTTGCAGACATTAAATAATCCCAAAAAGACCAAGCCCTTCTATGAGTTACCTAGGCAATCAGCTAACGGGGTGGTTACCAGGGACTGGTAAGAGGCAAAAATGTAGAAATTGTTCAGTGTATATAGATAATCAGTTTTGCAGGATTAAAAAGTTTGACCGAATAGCACAATGGATTAAAGTACCTGCAAGCAGGTTCAGGGGCCAGAGGTTTGATCTTCAGGCCTGCTGTGCCGGCCCTGCCCCCAGGGCGCACTGAGACTGGGCTAGGTGATGCACCCCTGTACTCTCAGCTCTTGGAAGGCTGTAAACAAGAGGATCACTACAAGTCCGATCTAGTAGTGAGACCCTGAACATGCAGTAGACCCTTTCCTAAAATACAAAAAAAAAAGAAAAAAAAAATTTTTAAATTCTGGAGTCTGGCCAGATAGCTAAGCAGATTAAAGCACCTGCATAGGTAGTGTGTGCAGCGGCTGGGGTTCAATCCCTGGTGTGCTGTGCCACCTCCAACCCCAAAGCACACTGAGACTACAATTGAGTCTGGGCGTGGTGACATGCAACTGTAATCCCAGCACTTGGGAGGCTGAAAACAGGAAAATCACTACGAATCTGATCTACATAGTGAGACCCTGTAGACCTTGTACTAAATACACACACAAAAAAAAAAGTTCTGGAGATAGGATGCACAACAGTGTGAATATACTTAACACTACTGAATTTTTCACTTAAAAATGATCAAGATGGTAAGTTTTAGGTTATATGCATTTTATCACAAATATGTTCAAATCCTTACCCAAATGAAACTCCCCCCCCCACCTCTCTCATGAGTTAACTACTCCTGTTATCTTACACAAACTAATATTATGGCTCTTGGCATACTGTTGGCAATTAAGTGTTCAACAGAATAGAAATTACGGTCCCTTGTACCTCCATCCTTGAATGTGACAAATACCCACTTCTGGGATCCTAAACAGAAACTAAGAAAATACAGTAGGATCTGTGGCACTGGCCTAGAGGAATAACATGCTAATGGTGGTAGTTATTAATAGCAATAGTGCGTCACTCCAAGGCTGGACTGGTTGGCAGAGTGGGCGCGGGGCAGCACTGTCTTCAGCTATCCCTTTATATACAAGATCCAAAGACCTAAAAGGACTTCTGTCCAACACACAAAGACATCCCCTTCTCCATCATGACAACCAGCTCAAATGATTGGCCCTACACAATCTGACTCGCTGGAGAGACAAGAGGAAGACACTCATTCAAGATAGATCCAAGACGGAGCAGCGTATCTAAACAGAGGAACTCTGTGGATGAAGTAAACAGAGTTACTGTTGCTCCCCTGGACTCCTTGTATGTATGACACCTAATTTCTCCCCCCTGCCAGGCATAGTAGTGCACACTCATACTCCCAGATATTCTAGGAAGGAAGAGCCTAAGTTCAAGGCCAATCTGGGCAGCTAAACAAGACCCTGTCTCAAAATAAGGGCTGACGATGTAGCTCAGTGAGCACTTACTTAGCAGGTGCAAGGTCCTAAATTCAATCCCCAGTATTAAAAGAGGGAAAATCAGATTAACAGACACACAGAGGATTGGAACTTCCTGGCCTTCCAAGTTCATTGCCAAGGGGGCCTGCCCCTTAGCTCAGTTCTTTAAGTGGCTGCTTCAATAAAGCAGTCAGGCTCAGGTTGCTGTGGTTTGATCCCCACAACTCAAGCCAGCAAACCTGCCCTGGAGTCATTCGGACCAATTTCATTGCCAAGAGAGTTACATTTCTTTGGTCAGTCTTTTAGGTTGGGAACTCCTTTGGGGTAAGGTAAGGATTATTCTTATTTTGGTCCCTTATCTTCACGGCCCATTAGCCTGGGTACATAGCAAATGCCTGACAAATGCCAAATGTCAAACTGAATGGTTAGGGTGAGCGCAAAGTGCAGCTTGGAAATAAATTGGGGATGGCCCTTCAGCTAAGCAACAAGTTTGCTGCTTTGAGAAAGAACAGTTTCCACTGGAGTTTAGAGGGAGCATGTGAGTCTGGCAGGAGAAGCAAGAAAAGAAAAAGTGGTTCAGAATAAAGCCCAGGTGAGCAGGCTGATGAAGTACCCACCCATTTCATGTTCATTTTACCTCCCTGGTCATTCCTTTGGGGCCCACAAGACAGTGGCTCAATGGCTCCAACTTGGCTGAACCAGGGATTGAGCTCAGACCCTTCTGCTTGCCAGGCAAGCACTTATTCTACTGAGCTATCTCCCCAGCCCCGAACTTTGCTTTAATTTTCAAGTAGACATGTTTTGCCTGGCTGATTGTACTGATTTAGGTCTGCTAACAATAAGATGCTCTTGTATAGCCTGTTCACACAGCCAGTCCTTTGTCATTGTTTCCCCTCTCTTGGAATTCTGGAAAGGATTCCTAACAATGGGTAATCAAAATGTCACACACCCCCTTTCTTTTGGTTCAATATAATGCTTCTTTTTAAAGTCTCATTCATACAGTTTGCAAGCTAAAAGGAACAGGAGGTACTAGCTTTGTATTCCAGGTAAGGAAATCTGGGTCAGAGAGCTGAGGTGGTGGAAGAGAGTGAAAACTAGAACCGTGAGCTCATGGCTCACAGGCCTGCACCCCTTTCCTTCTGCTACCCACTAGCAGTTGAGCTACGCACACACCTCCCTGGAACTCTCAAGGCGCCTCCATCTCTACATTTTCTGTGTAACAAAGGACCTCTCTGGACAGCTCCACTCTGTCTCCTTAGGGGAAAAACAGGCAGACGTTTTCAAGGGTTAATTTATTTTTGGATCGGTCTGTACGTTTCTAAAAATTCGCCGACAGGGTGGTTTTCCGTTGGGGGTGAAATGGGGAAGGGGGCTTCCCCAAACATAAGATTGGAAACCGCATTCTGGGATCTGGAGAAGCGCGCACGCACACACACACACACACACACACACACACACAGCAGGGGCACAGCGAGGCACTCTCACTCCGGCTGGAGTCCCAGTTGCAAGACCCCTCCCGAGCTGCCGGGGACCCCAGGGGGCGCCTTTCCAGTCGCCCGCCCGCGAGCGGCCCTGATTGGCTGCCGCCCCGCCCGCCTCCCGCGCTCGCTTCAGGTCTTCGCAGCGCGGTTCGCGCCGGCCGCACCGGCAGCATAGCGGCCGCTGGGATCCACCGAGCGCCTCCCGGGCTGAGAGGAGCAGAAGGCTGCTGGCGCTGCCGGGCGCGGGACCCCGCCGGAAGCCGAGAGCGACCCCGCCATGCCCGGCGCCGAGGAGCGGGGCGGCCCGGAGGGTCCGCGCGCGCGCGGCCAGCAGCGGCTGACCGTGGTGTGGAGGAACGTGGTCCTCATGGGCCTGCTGCACGCGGGGGCCCTGTACGCCCTACTGCTCGTGCCCAGGGCCCAGCCTCTCACCCTGCTCTGGGGTAAGTCAGCCCGGTGTTGTCAACTTCTGCCGAGTGATGAGCAGGTTTGCGGGCGCTAGGGGGACGGCGGGGTGCAGGGCAGCCTCTCTCAGCTCCTCTGTCTCCTTGGTGTCCGTGGGCCTTTGCTGAATTAAGGGCAGTACAGAGAGTTTGGCGCTGGAGGAAGGGTGTGAGAGGCAGACGGGATGCCACGTTCCACTACTGGGCCCCAGAAGTTTCTTGGTCGTGACCACAGCGCCTTGCGCCACCATCAAGCCCGACGTGGCCATCGGAATCTTTTCTGGGCCCTTCTCCGTGTGGGGGTGTGGCCAGTGCATCTGGCTGTCTCACCACCCACCCTCCTTGCACCTCCACTTGCAGGGGAGGGAGTCTGGGAGCCCCATCGCCCCTCCAGGATCCCAGGGACTTACTGGCAGCCCAGAAAGACCCTTGGGTGCATCTCTGAGCCACCTCGCAGGCCTTCCCCACCTAGAACTGGTTTGACTTGTGTCACTACAGTGGTCTTGGCCAAGCAGGAGGCACAGACGTGGATAACTCGGCCTGAGCGTTTGAAGAGGAGTCCAAGAAACCTTTCTAGCTCCAGTTCCGACGGCCCTGTGCAACCGGAACAGGGGAGACACAACCTGCTTTTGTTTCCAGAGGGGAAGAGGCAGGAAGACAGTAAAAAGACTTCTTTCTGCAAGGCTGCTTCGTGGCAGCCCTCCAGGCAAAGGTGCCTGCATAACCTACAGGAATGCTGGGTTCCAAGCCCTCCCTCAGAGCCCTGAGTTACTCTTGGAAGAAGTCCCCATCCGGAGTGGGGTGCCTTTCTGGCTGGGTGAGGGAACACAGTGTTGAAGGATGTTAAGTGAGATCTGTGGGAAGCTTAGAGCCTTAAAAACCCCTCCTCCCCCAAGGGCCAAGCTCTGCAGGCCCTTGCTGAGCTCTCCTGCTTTCAGGACATTTTCTCACTTGGTGTGGTTTTCACCATTGCCTCTCATATGGAGTTTAATTGTGTGGTATTCAGCCATTATCTAATGGACACCCCCCACTCTGCCAGCCAAAGTCAGGCTGCCCAGAGCCTCCCGGGGCAGGGCTGTGCAGGGACTTCAGAGCCTGTGGATCTGGCCTTTAATAGCTTCAGTGCTCCCAGAGAGCACTTAAAGTCTTACCTTACATGCTGGGAGCTCCACGGGGCCTGCAGGCTCCACTCCCTGAGCCGCTGAGCCCTGGGACTCTGGCATTTGGCTGGGAGCCACCAGGATGAGGTCCCTTCTCAGGTTTACAGTCACTGCTCCTCCCTTTCCAGACCTCTCTGTGGGAAAACAGAATCTTTATTCTGAGAGACCTTAACCAGAGGACACATCCTGTGGTCCCAGCATCCTTTAGTCACCTCAGAGAAGCCAGCATGTTGAGGGGATCTGGTTTCCCCTTTCTGGGTGATGTCGCCAAACCTCACTCCTTACCCAAGCTTTATCAACTCTGTTCTCTAAATCTATTCTCTCCCTACCTTCAGTGCTTCTCTCAAAGAAAAAAAGGAAAGAAAAGAGGAAGAGTAAACCATAGATGTTGTAGTTTCCAGTTCCAAAACTATGACTAAGAAATATTCCAAGCTCCTAAAAACAGGAGAATCACTACAAGTCCTATCTATGTAGTAAGACCCTGTAGACTCTGTACGAAATACATAAAAAAGACATATTCCAAGCTGTGGATCATATTGATGGACATCTTTTTGCACTGCCAGGTTGTGCTTGTCAGGCAGGTACTTATGCCGCTGAGCTATCTCCCCAGCCCTTGATGTACAACTTTGGAGGGAAGTAACAGGGACAAATTCCAACTAAGATAAGATCCTTTGTGATGATAGCTCAGCCTTATTAAGCAGCCAGCAGGAATTGGGGGACTGTTGATCCAGAGTTCTTTTCAGTGAAAGCCCTGATGCTTTGACCCATAGACCTCCCCACTCTGGAGGCCCTTCCAGCCACCTCCCTCATTGGTTCTCCCTGGCCTTAGTGCTGAGTTCTCTCCCAACAGACTGCTCATCTACTCGAGCAACCTGTGTTGCCAGGAAAATAGGCACAGTCCACCCATCATTCACCTTTTATCTCTGGTGAGGTTGCCCTGGAAACAGGCATTATCCCTGCCACATACCCTTCAAGAGATGAGTCCGTTAGGTGTGCAGACTGCTGGGTGATTTGTGGGCTGGAAGATGTCAAACATGGGAGAGCCATCGAACACTTACTTCCATGTGGCCTCTGCTGCTGCCTGACCCCCAGATTTGCATGATTCTCCCTGGAGCCCAAGGAAGTTGTTTTCCCTTCTGACCCTCCCAGGTTCAGAGTGGACACCTGGCAGAAGAGAATGTTCTTAGCACCCTCAGGCATGACTTGTGTGCGACCCTCAAGGGCAGAAAATAAGTGCCAGCTGAGGGAGAAGCTCCTCCTGAAGATGGACACCCACCGGGCTGTGGGCCTGAGGGCTCCTGGCTGAAGCGGCAGTCAGCAGTGCCCTGCCTTGAAAGCTGCGTGGCAAATGGTGGTCACAGTTTCAGGTAGAAGGCATGGGTGGGTAGAGGTGCTCACGCATTGTTTCCCTGACCAGTTCCAGGCATCTGGCTGTTGACTCCCAGTGTACCTAAATGCCATCAGAGTCCCCTACATGTGTCGCACAGTGACATAATTTTTGTTTCATCAGTCACTCAGCGTTCTCCCTTGAATGGAGCAGACATCTTCCTTCCCTGGGACACCTGCTGAGCAGCAGACTTGGGACTTTGGTGCCCTGTGGTACTAGAGCATCTGACCAACCTGAGGGGGTGTCATCCTGTGCTGTGGTCATTGGGAGGTGGCAGAGATGAGCAAGGTATTGGGGGAGGGATGTCCATAGAAGCCAGGGTTTGGAGGCACTGGTCCAACGGTCACATTCTTTTTTTTTTTTTTTTTTTTTTTTTTTTTTTTTGCGGAACCGGGGATTGAACTCAGATCCTTGCCTTTGCCAGTCAAGCACTTATCCTACTGAGCCATCTCCCTGACCCCCAACGGTCACATTCTGATAATCACCCAGAGATGAGCTGTCAGCTGTCTGGCACTGCAGAGCTACCATCCGCTGCTTGGGATGGTCTTGATATCACTGTTGGTTCTGTTTCTTTTCTGTTAAGTCACTGGGGTTGTTGAAGAGCCCAAGAAAGCACAACCACTAGCTTCCATTTGTCTCCAGGTTTTCTAGGGTGAGCATGGTGGATAAGCATGGAAATCCCACCATGCTCAGCAGCTGTGTGGCCCCAGAAAAATTAATATCACCTCACCCAGGTTTTCTCACCTGCAAAATGGGTGTATAAATACTACTCACTTCTTTTGCTGTGAGAATTAAATGAAATCATATCTGTATGTCACAGCTCAGAGACTGTCTCTTGGTTAGTGTTAAATAACGCAGTTGTCATTGTGGGTCCTAATACCGGTTTTTTCTATAGCAGAAGGGTGAAAGGCCTCCCAGTAGCATAATAAACTGGCACAGGATTTGGCTTCATTGTCTTATACATGGAAAAGTTTGCTTTGGCTCTGGAAATAAAGGTTCTTCCCTAAGGAAGAAACAAAGAGGGAAACACAAATCTCTCTACTTTTTATGTCCTTCCACTCTTATCCCCTTCTGTTTCACTGTCTTACTGTTTTCTCCCAGAAGATCATTGTTCTGTAGCTAAGAATCCTTTTAGTCTGCTAACAGCTCACCTGGTGTATAGGATTCTCTTGTCTGCCCTCCCTCCCTTCCTTCCCAGGGCACCGACAGGACAGCTGTAGAAACAGCCACATTATTTCTTGGAATCTCATAGGATCTCAATTTGGACTTGTTTTTCTCTCTCCTGCCCCCTTGAGTCATCGCTAAAAAAAAAATCTTCAGTGCTCATTTAAACTACAAAAAAACTAAAAAATTAGTGCCTTCCCCTTTTAAACCATACAACTCCCAGCTGGTTGCAGCTTCTACCTTTTTCATAAATGGACAAGACTGTGAGCCTCACCCAGGCCAGACTGCAGCAGAACCCTGGAGAGTTTGAGTGTGCTTTTTGGCTGGCTGAGCAGTCCCAACAAGTATAAATAGAGATGCAGGCTCCCATTATTAACTTGATTTTTTTTTTTTTTAAACCAGTCAAGGTCACTGCAGACTGCACTGCGATCGTGAAATGAGTAATTGTGCTGCAGAGTAGAAGCCTGGGCTGCAAACTTGGCGTTGCAGCTTAATGTGGCTTCAGACTCTGTCGTGTGTGAGCCTCAGTTTCCTCAGAGTTAACGGGAAGGAGGCATCAAACAGCTTGCGGAGGAGTAGGTGGTCAGCGCTATCTGCTGTTGCACTGCCCTGGGCTGGGTGGTCCCTTGAGTATCTTACTTTCATGTATTGCATGAAATGATCTTACTTACTGGGAAAAGCTGCAGACAGTCTCTTTTTTAAAGACATTTATTTTTGATAGATTTTCAAAGGGTGATATAGCTGTGATGGGTTATTTATGGACAAAAGAAAGTTTTCAGGTGGCATTTTCCCCACCAGCATTTGCTTTGACACTCTGTACCTTCAGCCGTGCAGCCTACCTGTCCCTTTGTTTGTCTGCTTCTTTTTTTCTTTCTTTTTTGTTTCTCTTTCTGGACAGGGCCTCACTACTTAATGCGGGCTGTGCTCCAACACACTCTCCTCCTGCCTCGACCTCTCAGTTGCTGAGGTTGAGCTGTGTGCAGCCGTGCCTGGCATGTCCCATGTTTCTTTACAAGTTCTCCAACCTTCGGGTTGCCAGTGTGAGCTTTGAGCCAGGCATAGTGGTACACACATGCGATCCCAACACTCAGGGAGGCTGAGGCAGGAGGATGGCAAGTTCGAACCCACTCTGAGACAGCATAGATTAAAAAACCCAAAACAGGGGGCCTGCCCCTTAGCTCAGTTCTTTAAGTGGCTGCTTCAACAAAGCAGTCAGGCTCAGGTTGCTGTGGTTCATCCCAACAACTCAAGCCAGCCAATCATGCCCTGAAGGCATTCGGAGCAAAAAA